TCATTCTGCGGCGAACTCTTTTCATTTGAATGTGGATGATATGTTTTATTATGTGGCTCTTTGTTTATGCGCTGATTTTGTGGTGGCGTTCCCATTCGTTTGCGTCTGGTTTCTTACGCAATGCTATGAAAAGAAGTCTGCTTAGGTCATATATCACCAGAGTTGTATATTTCATTTATCATTTCTGTCATTTAGGCCAAATTTGATTAACTTCTTAATAAATGGAGTTTATGAACCTACGCTTGCGAAAGGTTTTTCAAATAATGAACTGAAAGATGATCTAATGAATTGAACCACATAGGAGTTGCCAAATTTACTTGCACGTACGTAAGGGGCGAAAGGACATTTGAATTAACTACTGGAGCTTCATATGTTTTATATAGATAAGAAGCAAGCACATTATTAGCAAATAATTGTACCATCAAATAAAACCTTAATTTATTTCAAATGGAAAAAATAGGAAACATTTAGCTAAATTACGATGTAATATATTACATAGTGCAGCAAATCTAGTGTGATTTTCAATAAACTATTTAAATTTACATCATTTTGAAATAATTAGTGCCTAGCAGTATTATAGTGTTATAAGCGACTTTACTTTATTTTTATTAACTATAGTATTAAAATCGTATTAAATAATTGAATAATCAAACAGCTCTATGTTAGAACTGTGTACTGGCCTCTTGCTTCCAAGTCTTCTTTGATTATCAAGAATTTCAATGCAACTTAAATTGTTATCTTACGTATCGCTAATTCCAGTTCCTTTATTTTACTCGCCTCTTAATAGCATATTTTCTCATATTCTTTAACAGTCTCAAACTCTCATTAGGTCATACATCATACAGAAAATTTTATATATATATAAATGTGTGTGTGTTTCCTTATCTTTTCCTTTTCTCTGAAGCTCCATCAGTTGTACACTTTGGTATTTGAAAATAGACTTTATAAGCTTTGCTTGTGGGTTATGTCTTTAGACTTAAGACACTTGATGTGGTTTTAGGTAGCAGAGAAAGAACTTTCTTTCGTGTCAGCATTTTAGTCGCTTCTCTTCATTTGCAGTCACTAGAGTTATCGTTAGTCAGTAATGTGCATATGGTATATTTTTCTGTCTCTATCTGTCTCCCTTGTGCCTTAGTGGCTTCATTACCTTGGTTGGGGTGAAATGATTAACAAAATATTATTTTGTTTGTGAGTATAATGTGCAATTGCCAAGATAAAGATCTATAGCTATATTGCACGTTTCTGAACGTGTGTGTTTGCGTGTGTTGCGACCATGTGTAGTTGTTTGTTTTTTATGAGGCTTTCTATACGGACAAGTAAATATACGAATATAATATACGAGAAGTAATCGTAGTAAAAAGGAAATACGTTTCGACTTTTTATTGTTTAGCTGTAGTTTTTCTTCGGAAAATTCGAATGAACGTTTGAGAAGGTTGACATCTGAAAAGACAATTCTTACGCATGATATATCTGCCTCATTAGATCTATATATCCCAGCATTATTCTGCATGATCGATTTAAGTGAGAAAGCCAAAACAATATATATATATATATATATATATATATATTTATCTAGTTCCATGAAAGAAGAAGATAATATACACTATTCCAGGCTAGTAAACGAGAACAAACGGGATTTGGCGAATAGATCTCGATACCTACAAAAGCTGGCTTCAAAATAGAACCAAGAAGTAACAGAAGCATGAATGCTGAAAATTTAAGAGAAAATTTGGAATAAAAATGGCAGACTGAGAAAAATATTTTACTTGTAAATTTTTAAAGGGAAATTTTATGTATTAATAAAACAGAAACGTTCGTTAAATTCTAAGCTAAACGAATGCGAAGTTATAAATTCAAAGACACACATCTAAAATACGATACAATCTCTCTCTCTCTCTCTCTCTCTCTCTATATATATATATATATATATATATATATATATATATATATATACATACATATATATATATATATATATATATATATGTGTGTGTGTGTGTGTGTGTGTGTGTGTGTGTGTGTGTGGATAGATAGATAGATAGATAGATAGATAGATAGATAGATAGATAGATAGATCATTATGTGTGAAATTTAGGGAGAAAGAGTCCATTTCAGAGACAAATATCATAGACGCAGAATCATTGTATGTTTTAATCAACGTTACTTGTTGACTGTTAATTTCACGTCTTAATCTCATTAGGTCATACATCACCATTCTTGTTTTTGCTAATTAATATTACTAGCAATTAATTTATATATATATATATATATATATATATATATATATATATATATATATATATATATATATATGTGTGTGTGTGTGTGTGTGTGTGTATGTATGTATGTATGTATGTGTATGTATGTATGTATGTATGTATGTATGTGTGTGTGTTTCTTTATTTTTTTTTTTTTCTAAAGCTTCATCAGTTGTACACTGAGGTATTTATAGAATAGACTTTATAAGCTTTGCTTGTGGGTTATGTCTATTGTCTTAAGACACTCGATGTGGTTTTAGGTAGCAGAGGAAGAACCTTCTTTCGTGTCAGAATTTTAGTCGCTTCTCTTCATTTGCAGTCAGTAGAGTTGTCGATAGTCAATAATGTCCATTTGGTATATTTTTCTGTCTCTCTATCTTCAGAGCCCTTTTATACTTAAATTTTTTCCAGCATTAAGCCAAAAACCAAGCCTTTAAAATCAACAGAAGAAGAATTATAAAATACAAAAAATCAATCATCACCTCTAAAACAATAGTTAATCTCAAACATCAGAACGAAGGCAGTGATATATAAAATAGACAATAAAAAATCAATTTGATGTATATCGACGTAACTTTCAGAAAAATAAAAAAAAAGATTATATGAAGACCACAGATCGTGCATAACAACAATCTAGCCGCATAGGTAGTTTTGATTTTAAAAGATCGCAGTCAAATCAGCAGAGAAGAGAATTAACTAAGAAGAAAATGCATTGAGAGTGAATTAATGTCATTGTTCTCAACAGTGAATCTAAAAGTGGGGTTAAACATTAAGCAACAATAATAGCACTTTACGGCTATATGATTTGGTGGACAGAGATCTAATTAGAATCAGTTAATTTAAAAATCGACCATCACACGACTTCTCTAATATGGATGTAATTAAACAAACCAAAACTATCAGAAAGATAACGCATTCATCAAACCATATATATATATATATATATATATATATATATATATATATATATATATATATAAATATATAAATATATATATAAATATATATATATATATATATATATATATATATAAATATATATATATATATATATATATATAAATATATAAATATATATATATATATATATATATATATATATATATATATATATATATATAGCTTTAAATAAAGTGGACGTCATATCTAAGGTACCTTTTCGGCCAACGCTTTGTCAAATATAATCGTTGGCAATATTAGATATAATTGAATTCAAAGACAACTAAATGAAGTGAATGAGGAAGGAAAGGGGGAACTCGACTAAAACACAAATTTTAATTATATAAATTAAAATAGAACGATTGGGGATGTAAATAAATAGTTCCAAAAGAGTATATAAAATAGAAAAAAGAGGAACTGAGACCCCCCAACAGACGTAAGGAACGTATAAAGTGTTCCTTCTCTCTGCACAGATTGGTTTGCTGACACGTAATATAAACGTCTTTCCCTCCTCATTCACTTCATTAAGTTTTCTTTGTATTCATTTATATCTAATATTGCCAACGAATATCTTTGATAAATCGTTGGTCAAACAGTGCCTTAGGTATGACGTCAACTTTATTTAAAGCTATATATCAGTTCCTCGGGTACAAATCTCTGTTTGTGTGTATATATATATATATATATATATATATATATATATATATATATATATATATATAGATATATAAATATATATATAAAATGTTATTCGTATGCAGGCTTGTTTCGCTGTATCACAGCTAAGAAGTGCTACTAGACCTCCGAATGCTTCAAGCCAGGATCGAAACTGATTTGGCGTCAGTCAGAGATTCTACCAGAAGAGAAGTGTGAATTCTAATGTTGTTTTTACTAATGTAAACAAACGCCAGACAGCCACAGTGATCTTTTCATTAAATGATGAGCTGTACATTAGCGTAAACGCAGAATAAGCTTATCTTTCAACAGTGCTCAACCGAAATATTTTTCCTGGAGCCTATATATATATATATATATATATATATATATATATATATATATATGTAATACGCATAAAGTTAGGGAATCGTTCGAGTCCGTTACCTTGGATTACTTTCATTTTCTCCTGTCTCAAGTAAGGAAGTGGTACGCTAGGGTACTTAATGTGGTTTACTTTTATTCCATCTCATCCTTAGAGATCATATGATATTTTCCTAACCCATATTTTTGTTTTAGTCAAACTGATGATGCTATAGAAAACAAGCTTCCTCCAGTGAAACGCGTCTTGGATAAAAAACAACAAAAAAATTACACTTGTCATATCATTCTCACTGTTGTTTGTGATAAAATTATAAATTTACATACATACCCACAGACACCCTCTCCCCTATATATATATATATATATATATATATATATATATATAATTGTTTATGTGTATGTATGTGTGACTGTGTGTTATTCTGTGTATATGCGTATGCCAAGTGATTTATTCTAACTGTATGTTAAATATATATGTCTATATCAGTACTTGCATATTCATTTTCGTGTACTAGCAACTGATATTTCATTTGACAAACGCTTATATATATATATGTGTGTGTGTGTGTGTGTGTGTGTGTGCGTGCGCGTGTGTGTTTGTGAGAGAGTGAGAAAGAGACAGACCATTGCTAGTTAAACAAGCTGCTACCTCATGTTATCTTAGCAACACCCTCGCCTCCGTTTAATACCAAGAAGTCTACCATGTCCGGCACGGCTTTGTGTTTTCTTTCTTCAATAATATGAAACCATTATTCGGAACTTCTAATGTTTCGCACCGCCGTTATAGTTCTTCGTTTTATCACTGTCCCCTTCCTATTGTCCAATCCTTCTCCACCCGAAGATTCGGGGACTTTTGAAGTTTCTATTTATGCTTTATTTGCCTCTGAACCGAAATCATTCCCGAACTGAACTTTGCTGAACTTTGTCTTGTTTTCATATATCGTTTGTTATTACTTTTGGTTTTTCTTTTTCTCTTTCTTTTCATCTCTTCGTTCCGTTCTTCATCTTTATACGACTTTTATTGAATACAATCTCTTCCTCATCTTTCTACCTTCATCAGTGACTTCTTTCAGATTTTACTAAAATTATTAATCGTTTAATCATTGAAACTAAATTATTTTTTCTTCCCTGCATAATTCCTATAATATTAACTTTATTCCACATTCTTTTCCTTTAGACTTCTTTTTCGTCTTCTTCTTCACCCTTCCTCCTAGATATGTTAATTCTTCTTCATCTTGTCTTTCCGGCTGTTCCATCTTTTTTCTTCCTATCACTGTTTCTACTTCTTCATTAATCTTCAACCGCCTTTTCCGCCACCATCCGACTCCTTCTTGTTCCATTCTTGATCTTTTAATTTTCTTCCCCACTTTTCTCTTACTCTTTCTTCTTCTTCAAACCTCTTACAGATTTTATTCCTTCTCCTTTCATCAACTCCTGCTCTTGTTACTTTTTTCGCTGCTGTGGCCATCTTGTTCTTTTACTACTCCTTCTTTTCTTCTTCTTCTTCATTTTCTTCTTTTTCACCCTTTCTCTTAGTTTCGTTTACTTTTCTTCATCTTCATCTTTCCCCTTCTTCCAATTTTTTTTCTTCCTCTTACTGTTTCTACTTCTGCATTACTCTCCAACCGCCTTTTCCTCCAGCATCCAACTCATTCTTCTTGTTCCATTCTTGCTCCTTTAATTTTCTTCCCCCTTTTCTTTTACTGTTTCTTCTTCTTCAAAACTCCTCCACATCTTATTCTTTCTTCTCCTTTTATCAACGCCTCCTCTTGTTTCTTCTCCTTCACTGATGACTCTTCCTGATCCTTTTTCTTTTTCTTTCTTCCTCTTCTTCTTCTTTTGCTGCTACGTTTTCTATAGTGCACATTCGTTGTTTGCTTTCTCTACAGGATTTTTAAAATACTTTTTGGGTTTAATCATTCAGGTTCTTTGGCTTTTTATCTCTGTCTTCTTCGCTTCCATTTATTTTTTTTTCTTTTCTTTTCTCCTTTTGCTCGGTGAATTTATTTGTTTTACACAAGATAAAGCAGAATTTCGGATCTCTGAAAACCGTCAGATTTGCTAAAATCACCCCAGAAGATGAGAAAGAAAGAACAAGAACAAAAAAAAAAAAAAAAAAACCTTTACTACAGAAAAAAGCACGGCAAAGCAGATATCGCAATCCACAATGCAGCACAAGTTTGGACGCAGTTAAGAAAGGCGGGCAGAGTTAAGACAAATTCAACAGAACAGACCTCTTCTAAAATTAGGCGAAGACATAACAAAAAATAAAATTTGCGCTTGAGATACTTTTCGGTAATGATGAACGTATACACTAGACAGCGAAGGAGATGGCCGCCAATGAACACAGCAAATAGGACCACTTTTCTTCCCCATCTATCATGAAGATCAGTCGGTCATTTGTCCATTGCGTTGCACTTGGCAAACATATCAGCTGCACTTTGTAATGATCATGGCAAAATTCCAGTCCAAGCAAAAAAAGAAAAAAAAAATTCTTAGGCGCCTCCTGTTTGCCTGTTCATATTCTTCTCATGTCTGTCGATTGCTCGGCATAAAAAAAGACCCGGGGGCTAGAGCCGGAGTCGATAGGCCAAGAGATGGTTGTGAGGTGTGTGAGCTGATAACTGTGTTATCCATTGAGTCGGAACTCTTTTATGTACGAATGAACAATAATAGCATAGCCTTGCTGTGTTTATTTAGTCGACCACTGATTCATTTTGTTCTTTAAGGGGCGTCAACTTGTGCCGTTGTTTCGATGAATGCGAAAGTTCGGCTTTGTCTTTTCTGCTCACCCGATATAGAAGAATGGTTGTATAAAGAAGCTGCCCACCACCTCCCTTATACATTGTGTCATAAAAATAACTCTGTAGCATTTCCTGAACAAGAAACACCTGGCAACGACAAGTATCCGATATATATATATATATATATATATATATATATATATATATATATATATATATGTTTGTGCGTGTGTATGTATTTTTTGGATCCATGGAAAATGTCATAAAACCATTTCTGACCTTAAGTCTCTGTTTGGGACCCGGAAGGAAATGTGTATACAACAGAAATCCAAGGAAATAATAATAATAATAGTAATAATAATAATAATAATAATAATTCTATGGGACTGACACAATACACATTGACAGAACAATCAAAGTCGCTGCAGAGTGCAATGTATTTTTGAAGATATTCAAAAAGCTGTCAAAATACAAGGACCTTACAATCGAAATCTCAAAAATGTGGCACATGGGGACATCAATAACCCTGTTGTAGTTGGAGCTCTCGGATTGGTTGGAAATGATACCAGTAGACTAATTGAAGGGATTCCTGGAAGCCCATGCCTCAAAGAAATACAAAAAAAATTGTTTTCACATGAACAGCCCACACTTTACGAAGGGCTTTATCAATGTATTTTTTTTTTAGTTTTTTTTTTTAGTTTTTGTCAGTGGAAAGTGTCATGATGCCATTTCTAAACTCAGGTCTCTGAGCAGGACCCGGAAAGAAATGTGCAAACGCTGGAAATAATAATAATAATAATAATAATAATAATAATAATAATAATAGTAATATTAATAAAAATAATAATAATAATAATAATAATAATAATAATAATAATAATAATAATAAGAAGAAGAAGAAGAAGAAGAAGAAAAAGAAGAAGAAGAAGAAGAAAAAGAAGAAGAAGAAGAATTGAAGTAATATTAATGAAAAAGAGAAAAGTTAAAATTATCTCTCAGGAAATATACATATAAATATTTATATTCATAGTCAGAAATCCGTTTAATCTAATTTCTAAATTTCATTGCTGTCAATCATAGATAGATGGATTGATTCATACATACATACATACATAGATAAACACAACAAAATGATAAACAAAAAACAGAACAAAAAATGAAATTCAGAGAAATCAATCAGTGTCGCCCTCAAAACATGTGCACTTGATAGTATATTTAAAATAAATAATATTAAAAATATTTTATTTCGCTACACAAACTCTTTCATGTTTTAATATTAAGATGGTACTTCTTCAGGCTATGGTAGATAACTAGGGATAAAAAGTTATTTATTAGGGAAATTTAAAAAGAAAGCTTTACCTCATTTCGTAAGTGAAAGGAAGGCGTAAGTTCAGAATAAAATTTTAATTTAAATTAGATTCGTTGTAGTGTGTTAATTTGTTTATTATTTAATTTATTTACTTATATATTAATTTGAATTAACTTATTATACTTTTTTGTTTATTTTTATGAATTTAATTTTTATTTTATATCATTTTTTTTTGGCCGGTTTTAGTTTTCTATTTTAAGTAAGTCGTAAAAATTTGTTTCCGGGTCTGTATATCCAGATGAGATCTGATTTTTTATTTAACAATTTAAGTTCGTCTGGGGATGTAATTACAGCTACCTTCTCCTCACGGAGTTTTAGTGTTTGGACTTATTGCTGTAGGTTTATTTTCCATGATAGACTTTGTGATATATATATATATATATATATATATATATATATATATACACACACACACACACACACATATATATATATATATATATATATATATATATATATATATATATATATATATATATATAATGAGAATTGAAGTGGGCCCCATTTAAGATTTTCACTTGGTGAATAGAGACGTTGGACGTTGTAATAAAAAAAGAATAGAACGCGACTGGCCTCTTGATTGTACAAGTTGTATTAAACAATATCACAAATAAATCCTTGGAAACTTAATGGTGTCTGCGACCAAACTTATCTGCCAAAGAAGAGTCGATCTTTTCGCCATCTACCGATTCTCTGGTCATAAGGCCGGGTTTGCAAGTGGTTTTAACAAGAGTGAGTTTTCTTCAAAATAGGTTATGGGTCAGGGACAATTCCAATGGAAATATGTGTTTTAGATTTCGCATCTCCAGAGACCTGTCTCCTTTCATTTTGTCAGCTGAGCGAACCTTTTCGCCGCTTCTGAAATGTTATTTTGTGACCTTGCTCAATAGCCTGAATGCCCTGGATTCTTAATCAGTACAACTTCATCAACTTTTATTTTATTCTGATAATCCATCTCATGCAGTTCCTTACACCCTTCTCGAAGGTTGAGTACATATTCATTGTGCTAATTCTCTTTAAATGTCTCCGGTGGTTACACTCTGTCTTTCAGAGACTCTATCAGTTCGTTTCTTGTTGATCCAGTACTGTTGTTATCTGGTATATTCTGACGGACTGTTAATTCTCCATTCACATTTTTGTTAAATGAATGATTTCGACCTTAATGGGATGAGCCTGTTGTCCGAAGAGCATCTATACGTCAAGTGCCTTGAATTAACTGACCTCTGTATATCTGACAAAAATGTCAATATTTGGTAGTAATTTATTCTCGTTGTTCCAATTCACTTGAAGAGGCTGATTTTTATTGTTTTGATCATATGCTTTGTTTTCAGTGAACGGTTGAAAACCAGTCTAATTTTTGTTGTAGTCTGGGACTCCATTTTGAACACAGGTCTATGTAGAATCCAAATATATTCTCCATCCTTTTAAGATTGTGAATTCTTTAACGTCCTCTTTTTCTTCGTTATAATCTTTATGCAGATTGTTACGTTCAAGAGAATGCATTGTTCTTTGAAGTACAGTTAGGGCTACTTTTCAGTTAGAAGGAACAGAATGGATTTTGTCCTCATACCACGGCATCTCCATATAATATTCATTGTTTTTTTTTGTTTTGTTTTGTTTTTTTTAATTAAATAGGTTCATTGAATTCCTCTAAATTTTTCAGTCATAGGAACTTATATTTATTTCTGTAATACCTGAGTCTATCTCTAATACACGCCATACATTTCTTTCTACTAGAGACATATCAAATGTATCAGGTATGTTATCAGTGTCGGTGTCATTTGGATGTAATACAAATTCTACTTCTCGCTCGAAATATTTGGTTAACTCCTTTATGATAGTATGATAATTGTTTTGATTATATGCATTCTTAAAATTTACTGGTTTGATCATATAGAAAATAATTAATCTCTTATAAATGGCCTTATACCACTCAGTAATTACCATGCTAAGCCCCGCATACATTTACCGAGTTTGATAGAACGCATGAATTGAAATATGTCTACACTTATCAATCCTAAGATATCAACCTGGCCATGTTTATTCCTTGAAAAAGATAATCTTTTGTTCAGACCGATTATTTTTTTTTCAATTGAATCTGATTCATCAATGTTTTAAGATAAATTCGCTATCAGTTAATACAGGCAAAGGAAATTGTTTCCCCTTATCGGTCTTAATATCCAGTAATAATCTGATCAAATCGCCTGTTACATTGAACTAAGTAAGTTTTAACTTGAAAATACACTTTTCTTAACACCATCTCGGGGCAATTTAACCATTTAATTATTTTGTAAGAAAAGTATAATCGCTGATTACCGGTGTCTAATAAGCAATTGACCACTGTGCTTTTTCTACCGGGCCATGTTTATTCCTTGAAAAAGATAATATTTTGTTCAGGTCGATAATTTCTTTTTTTTTCAGTTGAATCTGATTTATCAATGTTTTAAGATAAATTCGCTATCAGTTAATACAAGCAAAGGAAATTGTTTCCCCTTATCCTTCTTAATATCCAGTAATAATCTGATCAAATCGCCTGTTAGATTGAACTAAGTAAATTTTAACTTGAAAATCCACTTTTCTTGACACACTCTCGGGGCAATTTAACCATTTAATTATTTCGCAAGAAAAGTACAGTCGCTAACTACCGGTGTCTAATAACCAATTGACAACTGTGCTT